ATACATACATACATACATACATACATACATACATACATACATACATACATACATACATACATACACATATCTATAGAGAGAGTGAGAAAAAGAGAGAGAGAGCGCGCGCGAAAAAGAGAGATGGAGAGAGAGAGACCAAACTAAAAGAGAAAGGAGTCTGTTTTCACGAATATGGCTTGGCCTGCGCCCCTTCATAAAGCACTGCCTTTTCTTGTGTCCGCCGTGCATACGGTCTATCACGTCGAGTAGCACTTACATGACGGAGAATAAAGCTGAAACGCTAAGGCCTCATGTAGGCTGAAGGGACTGGCGGCCGACGTACATGCTCTTGCTGCCTTTCACTGAGAATACTGATTTTGAGCCTTTCGTAAACAATGGGCATGGAGCATTGAGACGGCACGCATGTTGTTTAGTTCAACTTTATAATAGTGCTCTTAATTGGTCAGTTAATATTTTGAGGTGAATTAATCAAGCACATATGTTTGTGTTAGCGGGCATGCTTTCCGTGCACATTCATGCAGACACAAACACCAACTCTAAAACACACATGAGATTGCCCTTATGAGTTGGCGCACTCAAAGATTTGTCTCGTTCTGTAGCTAAAGCATGCTCGTTGTTTGGAGGTTGGTAAAAGCAAGTGAAATGAACATGCAGTTCCACAACTATGAACAATGTTTATCTTGCTTACCCATGACTGAGGATCTCGGCCACTTCCAAAATACCACCAAACAGGAAGTCTAATAGTACTTTCTTCCATTTCGAGGTAGATTAGTTCTCGAAAAGCCTCCTATAATAACAGTAGATTTATATAATTAGGAGATTCACGTAGCTTCAGAAGAGGGAAAAATTAATGCCTTCTGAAATTATTTTCAAAGAGGATTTTTTGAGGTATTATCTTATTTAAGGATCCAACTTACGAGTGTCAGCTTACTTTTACTTCGCGTCACATATTTATGCAAATGCCTTAATATGTAAGGTTTAACATCACTGGAATTTTAACCTGTATAATTTTACATAATTTATTAGAGTCCCCAATAATTACCCACACCTTAATGTGAACATTTGAAGTAACTCGAAATAATATTAGCTAAGTGAGATGATATAACGATTATGTAAACTAACACTTACAAAGTTAATCATGTATTAGGCAAAATGGTATCTCTTTGAATGAGGAAAAATCGGATTTCGAAGAATTCCTTAGTGGTATATTGTGATATGACTTACCATTTCGAAGAAAAGTTGGTTGGCAGGAATTCGTGAAATGAAACCGGGGACCGAAGGACGACTACTTTGAAATAAAGATAGTTGGAATGTAAGAAGAAGTACTCGGTGCACCGTCCTACCACCCCGATGAACCCGTGCAGCATAGTGAGCCGAGAATTTCTTCGTGCATCCCAACAGTCTTCAATCCGCAGAAATCCTCATTCGGTCTCCAATACCATTTCACAACTTCCTTCCTATCAATTTTTCCTTAGAAAAAGAAAGTCATATCACACTAAGTACACTTTGGGTTGACTGGCGTGCTAAGTGCTCATAGTTGTTCTTTCTCTGATGAATTGAGAAGTAAACCGAACTGTGGATTTCTTCCCCTCCTTGAATTCTAATCTCGCACTGGTGGCATCAACATTTTATGTGGTATTCGCCACAAAGGTCAAGATAGGTCCTTCTCATAAAACGTTTAACTTAGGACTCTTTCGGGAATAAAAAAACATTTTGTCTAATCATAGTGTCGTAACGACAATCCGTGAATCGTGCTGATTGACGAGGCGGACGATGTGAGCTCGGTATTGTATTTCAGACTAAAGAGGAACTTGCATTTAGTGCATACAGCACTTGCAATTCTACAACAATGGCAGGTCGTTTTGCGGAGTTTTCGTGGTTATAGCAAATGTAAGCTTAACCAAGAATTCGCTCAACGATGGATTATCGTCTCAAGTGAATTTTACTCATTTTTCATCTACAAGTGGGTTTTCAAGACTACCAGTATATCATATATAAAAGGTGTATCATCTTATTTCGTTTAAGGTGATAATCGGATTGATAGTTGAATTTTCCCACAATGATATGAGTAGTTCTTCTGGTTCCATTGAGTTTCATATAACCTTGCTTTCCCAATAGGTATTTTTATCCAGGCTGGACTGGACTACAGTTTTGAACTTGCCTCCAGCGCGACGAAAACAATGAAAGTGCAGTGTCGATATTAGACGCTGTATTGTCATGGTTCAAGTCCAGCTGGGGGTGTTGATAAGACCTGGACGAGGTCAAAATTACAGTCCACTTCGGCCTGAATGAGAATTTCCTTTAAAATCAAGGTAAGATGAAGTTCAATGAAAGTGTAAGTTCTATTTGTATCGTTGTGGGAAAATGCAACTACTAGTCCTTTATGAGCTTAAAGGAACAGGGTGAATACAGCTCATATATATGCTTTACTGGTAGTCTCGAAAACCTACTTTTTAATGAAAAATAAGTAAAGTAGTCGGTTGTTATGGGAAATACAACTTGGCTTCATTAGCGATCTCACCACAGAAAGTTATATAGGAAAATGTCTGGACTTTCTTGAAATTCACATCTGCCCTGTAACCTAAGGACAATGTAGAGTAGTAGTTGACACGTCGAGATTATACGCTTCAGTTTCATGATTTGAGCCCCGCCGCGGGTGCTGATAAAGCGATGAAGCGAGTTCGAAATTGCATTCCATTCCGGCCGGGATGAGAATACCTTTTAAGAAAGCAAGGCTAAGTTAACTTCAATGGAAACATAAGGTCTGCTCGTAGTATTTTGGGAAAATTAAACTACCAGTCTTTTAATCACCTTAACTGAAATAGGGTGAATATACTTCAAAAATATGACTTTTACTTTGTTGATACTTGAACTCCGTCTTCCAGTTAGTTACACCACTGGCCAGCCTCGCTCTTGGGTTAAAGATGAAGCTGCAATCATGTCGCAAATGCAGGAAAGTCAGTGTGCACAGCACAATGAGATAACATACAATGCAATTAACTGGAAAATGAAAAATGATCTACCCAAGACAAGTGCTAATTTGAGTTTATTTTAGGGTCTTCATGATTGTACACAGACATTTGTTTTGTATTTATTGTCCTCGATTGACGTATAACCAACGATCACTTGCCAATTTTGTGGCTCTCAGGTTCTGGGCAGATTCAGTTATGGCAATTTCTGCTAGAGCTGCTTTCCGACAGCCGTAATCTCGCCTGCATCATGTGGGAGGGAACGAACGGCGAGTTTAAATTGGTCGACCCCGACGACGTGGCCAGAAGATGGGGAGAGCGCAAGTCGAAGCCCAACATGAACTACGACAAGTTGAGCCGAGCTCTGCGCTACTACTACGACAAGAATATTATGAGCAAAGTGAGTATATGCATGTGTTTTGTGTTTCTTGATAAAAGATAATTTAAAGTTGGTTTAACCTCGTCTTTGCATCATATTCAAGTCTTAGAGAACAATTAGAGGGGATAGCCTATACACGAATAAGTAAGGAAAACGAGATCAAATCAACTATATTCAGTAAAAGTAACTGTGATTTAATAAAAAGACCTGCTATATCGGTCTTCATTAATGAGATTTTGTCTCAACTGCCTCAGTTTTCGGTTTATGCGAAATAGATTTAGGGCATGTTGA